GCTGCTTTTAACAGGAGAGATTTGAACACATACAAATAAGTTCAACATAGGGAGCTTCTGGAGGACTCTGATTTAGTCAGTCCACTTAAAAGTTGCTCCAGGCCTTTCCTAGGGCTTTGAGTGCACATCTTTCCCTTCTGTGAACTCCTTAAAGCAGTGGATTTAGATGCCTATCTAGAACTGGACTGCAAAAGCTGGAAGGTGTTGTTCATCTTATTGTTTGGCAGACCTCAGCAAAGCTAGTGCCCTCCTCTTACCCCCTCTCAGCAAATTGAGCAGTGGACCCCAAAACCTCTCTCAGATCTCCTGGCAGAGGTGTGGGAAGCAGGCTTTTTAGAATAGTCTGGTTTTCTTTGATATAAAAAATACTTTTCCTCCAAATGGAGATTTGATACCAGGACAGGGCTGCATGCAGGGAGAAATAACCTGTTGAGTCTGGTGAAGGTACTTGTAGTAAAGCTGTATTTGGCACTTTGCTATTGAGATTTCTGGTCACTTAAAATTATATAAGGACCTTAGTCAAAAGAGTTACATGCAAAGGCATGGATTTTGTAGTCGAGCAAAGGGTCAGGATTTTTAAGATGTCTGAATTTTCAGCCTTTTTGAAACCTTCATGACTTGGAATTGGGAATATTTATCTCATATCTGGACATTTCCTATGGTTGAGGTCTGAGGGTGGCTTTGGGAACTGGAGTGGCTGTAAGTTGCCCATCTGTGCCACACTGTATGTCTTTCCAGTGTCGCAGGGGGATGACATTTAATTTGGGTTTAGTGTGAGAGCGAGGGAGGAGGCTTTGAATCACCAGCAAACTCCTGCCACAGCCATGGCTGCTGAAGGCGAGTGCCTGTGCCAAGTTGCTCTCCAGAAGCACCTATTTTGCCAACAAAGGTTCATAACACATCACCCAGGACAAAGAGAGTATTACCCACTCGAGGGGCTGCTGTAAACTTGGTTGCCCTTTGCTGCTTCTGCCTCTGATTTTTCGGGGAGTGGGAGGGGAAGGGAAGTCGTAAGAGGCAATGACAGCGGAGAGGGGGACGCAGTGAGAAGAGCCCCTGCTGGCACGGCCGGCCTGACCCATTCAGCAGGGCTGAATACGATAAATGCTGCTTTATCCTTTCTTGAAAGGAACAAGATAGCAAGGCCTAAATGCCTGGGTGTGCTTAAATAGGCAACTCTGGGACGCCGGAGTCGAGGGCGTTTGAAATCGGAGCTCCCCAACAGCCAGGGAGCTGCCACAGGTCACCTGCCTCGCTCCATGGGGACTGGCCCAGGTCTGGCAAGAAATCGTGCACGGACGAATTGTAGTACAAATTCCTTTCTTTGTTGGTTGGCCTCTTTCACTAGACCATGGCCTATAAAAAATTGTGTAAAAACAATTCTTAAATATTATTTGAAAGGGCAAACGGCCACGCTGAAAGGTTTGACAGTTTGACATATAGCGCCTGGTCTTGCTCGCCAGGGAGCGGGCGTGCGGAGCCCGGGCTCTCCTTCTGCTCCTTACAGGCTCCGGGTTTTTTGTTGTTTTTTTTTTAAACAGCGTCTAGTTGCTGTGCAGAGTTGCTGCGCTCCCAGCAATTTGACAGGCAACGAGTCTGCTTCAGTGATCTTAAATCCTTTTAGACTAATTTGCGAGCGAGCAGAAAAACAGCTAGCACCTTCGGATCCAGCACTCAAAACCAGGGAATCAGGTATTGCCAATTAAAGTGCCATTTCCAACCATCATATCAAGACAGATTACTTGCAATTCCTCTGATAATGTCACTCCATGCCTAAAGAGAAAGCGGGATGGAGTTTCTCCATGGACAAAGGATCCGCACGGACCAAACTCCTTGGCGAGCGGGGCGGAGGGAACGCGGTGGGGACGGCACATACACACATGCATATGTGCAGCGTAAAGGCGAGCAGCGCGCCCGCTTTGACCCCAAATAGCCATGGGCCATTCTGGAGAGCCTGTGGCCCCTCAGTCACTGGCCTACTAGTTAATTGCCACACGGACTTCGTGACACATGGGCAGATAATATGACATTTTCGGTTTCTGTCACTAGCAAACGCCACGGCGTTGCTTGCACTAGTTGCTAAGAAGCTGTCAGAAACCATTAGCAGCTGGCTAAAGTTGCCCTATGGCATTTCCTCATGGCATCAGCAAAACAAGCATAAATCACCCAGCGGAGCCTCCCGCTATACTAATGAGGCTGTAAGCTTGTTTATGGACTAGCATCATTTCTATGATTATTTCCACCTTTTCAGTTCGCCTTCATTTGGCAGCAGGAGAAGTCAACTTCAGGAACAGAGTCGCCACCGACATTTTACAAATGCAGTTCGTAGCTGCTACCGTGTGGCTGGTCAGTGGTGCTTCAAGTTTGTTTAGTAATCTTTAAAAGGAGGAAAAGAGGGGGGGAAAAAAGAAAGGGCGGGGGGGGGATCTCTGGAGACCTCACAGAGGTGAGTGTATCGAGTTGCAAAGTAGATGGAAATACTAAAATCCACAATTGACCATTTAGAGTTCTCTCTGTGGTTTCAGTCTTTACGGGATCAATTTTCCATTTAAAAAAAGTGGAAGAGGTTAAACAATTTACAGAAGTCTACCGAAGCATTTGCTCCAAGGATAGCTGGGCGCTTTCTTATTCTCTCCCTGCTTTTCACTTTCTCTAACTTGTGTCGGTCGAGGCCAGGGTTTATTGTTTTAGGCTTTTCTGAACATACACCAGTATTTACACTGGATTGAAAGCATTTGCTTCCAATGAAAATCTTGTCTTAGATTACAGCCCAGCAGTGTAATTTCCCTCCCAGATGGGAGTAAAGTAGCAGTATTTGCCTAAAAACAGTAGGAAGAACAAACTGTGCATTAAGCCAAGGCTGTTTTTGGCTTGAGCTAATGATGTAACAGAAACCTTTTATTTGGGATAGGTCACTGCCCGGGATTGAAGGAGGTGATCTGGCTCGCGCTTGAAAGGTTTCTCCATTGTATCTACATAAGTCTTCACTTAAAAAATCCTGTTCCTAATGCTTCTGCTTTCATACAGCAGAAATAAACAGGAAAGGTTCTGGGGAGTGTTATAGGTGGAATGCAGAAAGCTTTTCCTCCCCTAATGGAGGATATAATTCAGGTGCCCTGGAGGCATGCTTTCAGGAATTCTCTTGCCCGAGGTAATGGGAAGCTAAGGCTGCTTGAAGGCCTTGATTATCTATTGATGCACAAAGCTGGAAAAAAAGTCATCTCCCTTGGATTATAGTAGATATTTCCATAAATTATCAATGAGTCCTCCTCCCGTCAGGCATGAGGCAATGCCTGCTAAATTAATCTGAAGGGGGTTTGAAATGAGTGTATTTTTAAAAAAATGGGGTGGGGGGAGAGGGTGGGTGGACGATGGCAGGGAGGTGGTGAAAGGCAGTGTCATTAGGTTAGAAGCTTTTCATTTTTAATCAATGAATGCGTAATACTTTTCTTTTCCTTGTTTGCCTCTCGCAGACAGAAAGTGGATTAGCCCGTGGAATTTTAAATGCTGTTGAGTTGTTTCCTTTGCTCATGTTTCTTTTATGAATTATTATTTTATATGGTGAATTGCTTCTCTGTATAAAAGCCCTTTTTTACATACTGGGCTTTCAAAGAATTTGTCGGATATCTAATTTCTTCATAAAAATCTTGTTTGTTTCTGTAACTACCCAAGGTTACCATTTCATTAAAGACACAGGCCAAGTCATAAGGACAATTATAAATTTGCCACGGTCAGTAACATGCTAAAAATATAACACTAATAATAGCTTTTATTTTTTGGTGCTGAAAGCTGCTTAACAAATCACAATTTTGACAGTCTGCATCCCTTTTTTTAAAAATATATTTTATTTTTGTCCCTAATGGAGATAGTTTGTATTCAGCCCAATTCAGATGGCTTTCTTGATCATTCTTGCCCAGGGGTGTAAAAAACACTTGCCTAATAACATCACAACTCCACGTTGCTACAAATACAGTGTCCTTGGAAGCCAGGATACACCGTTCAGTCCACATGCAGTGAAATGCAAAGACTTGCTTGCTCTGTGGACTTGTTTATAAACTGTGTCCAGGGTTTGAAACAAAAATTGCATGCAAACTGGCCAGGCACTGCAACTTTTGTTTTCCTTTGGTCACTAACCCATCAACCCAGACCCAAGTTGGCTGCTATGCAGTGACATCCTCCCCTAGACATGTTGGTAATGTGTTGAGAACTGTCTGTGACCTTCTCTGCATTAAGGAAATTCATTCTGGATCAGTTATTGTTTAGCAGGAGCAGACACCTATTACAGCTATGGCACACTGGCACAAAGCAGGGTGTTAGTTCCTAATGGTGTATGTCAAATTGGTGCTTGCTTATCCCACTATGAGTTTCTTTTGGCTGGGACTGGGAAGAGGGGAGGCCAGTTAGCTGCCCACCTCCCATCAAAGAGTCAGGGGACGTCAAACATCTGTAAAAGACTTAGTATAAGTGATGCCCCAGTCATCTGGTTATTTCCAAATTTGTGGAGAGAATATGATGCAGCAAGAGAGCTGCATTCACCCTGCTTTTCACATCCCAGAGTGGGACGAGGCACCTGGCTTCACACATGTCATGATCCCCATCCCGTAACACCACTTTCCTGATTGTCAGCTCAGCCAAAGTAGCTGATTGGGATGAATCTTTGGGAAGTGACCTAGTGTGAAGAAAACCCACCGTTTCCACCTTTGCAAGCTGGATGCTTGCAGGTTTTTTACAATTTTTAAGCACTTTTTGTTTTGGGTTACCATGGCAGAAGTGGCCACACTGTCCTTCAGGATAAACCAGAATGGGGCCGACACAGTTCTGAGACCCTCCCTCTCCCCATGTCTCTCCCTCCCTCCCCCATCCCCTCAACCCCTGGTGAATTACGGTGTTAAAGAATTTATACCTCATTTAAATATTCATGCAGTTTATACCCAAAGCCAGGCTTCGGCTGAAGTATATAAAGGTAGCATAAGTCAAAATTTGATTCACTATATTTACAGGTGACGGCTTGGACAACAGTGTAGCTTCCCCCAGCACAGGTGATGATGATGATCCAGATAAGGACAAAAAGCGACATAAAAAGCGTGGCATCTTTCCCAAAGTAGCCACAAATATCATGAGGGCATGGCTGTTCCAGCATCTAACAGTAAGTGAACTCTAGATCACATATGCAAAATAAAACATGGATAATGTCATAGTTGTAGTAGTCGTAGAAAGCAAAAAATACGTATGATGTTGCTGACAGGCAGCTGAGGAACTGTTCCGGGCAGAGCTGTTGTTGCCTCATTTGCTAGATGCCAGGGGAAGAGCACAGAGTGTATGTTTTGATGGTTTGGGGTTTTTTTGTGTGTGTGTGCGTGTTGTTTTTAGATATTTTTTGTTTGTTTGTTTGAGACACAGTTGTTAACAGGACGTCACTGCGAAATGTGATTTCTACTTAAAGCTTATATGAATATAACCCCGCAGACCTGTCCTGCTTTGCAGCTCCACTCAGCTGATGTGGGAATCGCTGCTCTGGAGCACAGAGCAGCATTCGGCCCCTGGTTCTGTGCTCCGGAGAGCTGCGGAAAACAATTGGGGAGATTAAAAAACAAAGCCAAAAGCAAACAAAGACCATATTCAGATGTTTGTCAGAGATCATCAGAAGCTTCATGATGAAAGGTCTGAATGTATCTGGTTTAATAGCAAAGTGTAATTTTTTTCTTTGAGACATTCTCATTCCCAGAGTGTAAGTTACCCCTGTATTTAATGTTAGAAAGTGGTGGGGGGGATGCACAGCTATTTCTGTTACCACAGCTACTGTATGTTTTTGGTTTTTTATTCCTGGGATTTGAAATCAAAGCTCTGGACAGGTGTGTGGGGTTAAGCTGGATGCTGGAGCTGGTTTCAAAGCTTTATATTGTGTACCACACCTTCTAATGTTAGCATTTAGAAAAGTGTTTCTAATGCCATTCTCCTTTTTCATCAAATTGTGATCTGTCACTATGCTTTTATCCACCGTGGGGATGTGAGCTTTCAGCCCCAGGTTTTCTGTCTCAGCCTTTCTGTGCCAGGAGGATAAGGGTCAGGAGAGAGGTACTGAGGGTCTGCTGGTGGTAGTGAAGAATGGCTCTTCCCTCTAATCTCAGTGGTTGACTCTCTCCTCTGCCTGTAGTTAGGGTCGGGATGAAACTAGAAGCTGGCCAGCTTGCCCAGCCCTGGTGGGAGCTCTGCCAAGAGTATAGCTGTAAAGTGGAGGAAGCTCTCATGCACATCACCCCTCCGTCCCCAGCTGAGCCAAGAAACCAGATACCTGCCATGACTCTTGTCAGCACAGGGATCAGGCAGGGAATCCTGTCCCGTGCAGTCCTGGGTTGCTATGAATGAACCTTCATGTTGGAGCACTACTCCTCCGAGGCCAGAGGGGGCCTCGGATATCTCCAAGTTAATCTCTCTCTCTAGCAGACTCCATGTCAGTCATGTCCCGGCTTTGCCAGCTCCTTATCCCTGCCTGGTGCGTTCAGTGCCATCACTTCCAAAGGCTGAGGTCCCTTTAGGTGTTGGCAGCTCCCCATTTCGAGGTCCTCACCCAAGGTGAGCTGACGCCTGGCATCTCTCTGCAGGTAGATGTGAGGTAAAGGACATCCACCTCCAAACAGTCCAGGGATGCTGTGCCAACAACAACCAGCCTGGCACAGCTGGTTTAGGTTTTGGATTGAGGAGATGCCCTGGAAGCTCTGCAGCCACGACAAGGCACACCAGGGAACGCTGAGCTGCGTGTCAGTCCCTGTAGTTTCCAGTGAGGAATTGCAAATTAAGTAGCATAAATATTTTTCCTGAGAGTGTCCTGTTGCTGTGTTTGTGCTGGTAAATAAAACATCACCCAGACCCAAGCACAGGAATGTGGGGGTCTATCCTGGTAAACTGCTCGAGCAGTCTTCAGCACACTCTTAGCCTGGACCAGCTACCCCCTTCCAAGCCCATTCCTGGGAAGGTAGAAGGCTACAGGGTGTTTCCAAAAAGGCCTTGTGGTGGGAACCACCCTGTGTTGAGCATTTAACTACATGGGCTTGACCTGACCCTGCAGCTAGTTTCATGCACAGTCTCAGGACCAGAGAATGGACCCCCTCACTGTTTCATCTGGGTTAGTTGTAGGGTTCCAGTGGCTTTTCACTCTTCTCCTGTGAGGTAATAGTGTGCAGAAGAGGAGAGTGCCTGTAGAACTTGCCGAAGGGCTCCTTGCAGCTCCTGGGAGACAACGTCTTAAAATTTGTTTGTAAGATGGTCTCTTCTTCTGGAAGACGCAAATACAGGAAGAACCATTCCCCCCAGAACCTATGCAATGAAGCTGCTGCATTTTCTACCTTGCAGCATTGAGCTAAAGCTTGCTTTAAAAATCCACCATCCCCTGTGCAGATCCAGCCCAACCAGGTGAAGCAGGTGGTTTTTATTGCAGGGCAGCTTTCTCCTCTCCTGGCAGCATGGTAGATCCAGGGTTCTCTGATCAATTCAGTAAAACAGAATTGGTTTATCCAGTCCAATCTTCTTCAGGTAGGACCTTGAGACAGACTCTAGGTGGGATCTTGGCCAGTTTCCTCAAATTAAAACACTTCTGGAGAACACTGTAGGCTCTTCCTAGAGCTAGACCAATGCAGAGTGTTTACAGGCTGCTTAGGGTGCTGTCCTCTCTGCAAAAAAACCCCAAAAAACCCCAGGCCCAAGTAATGGCTGCAATTAGAGCTGAGGAGTAGCAGGGGGGAGAGACCAAAGGAATTAAAACTCCAGTTCATTTATAAGGGCATTTGGCTTTCATGACTGCTCTTAAAACCCTGCACGGTGGTATGGTGGTATCCCCAGCTGGTTTCCTTGCTGCAGGAGGGAGATCGTTCCAAGGAAACTAGAGATCCCACATTATTTATTTACTTATTTATCTATCCATCTATTTATTTATCGGTGGATTTGGTCTTTCGTAGGGCGAACACAAGGTCCTCCCTAAAGTGGGAGGTGAGGAAACACAGGGAGGTGGTTCTATTCAGGCAGGGGATATGTCAGGGCAGGCCCCTGTGCTTTACCTGCCTTCACTTTGCCACCTGAAAAATGGCAGGGAAAGAAATGAGCAGCAGTTAAGTGCAAAATCCAGCATCCCCCTGACCACTGGTGCTTCCTGATTGGGGTGTTCGTTGGGAGCCCTCCTTTTCAGGAGAAAATTTTTTTTCCCCTCGCAATTGTAATATTAATACACATCAGCAGCATGGAAGTAAACAAAATAGACAGTAATTGCTGTGTCTGTCATACTAATGATTACTGGTTGGAAAGACTTAAAATAAATGTTGGACGAATGTAATCTTTCAAAAGTGTATAGGTTGGTTTAGTTCCTTCTGTGCAGTTATTCCATCTCCAAGAGCATTAAGTCTTCCTCTGTGTACTGACTTCATTTCCGAAGGTTTGTCCCCTAGTTCTTGTTTCTCACTTGGGAGGAAATCCTTTTTTTTTTTTTTTTTCTCTCCGGATGTTGAAGTGTTTGGGCAGTAGTTCCCACTCAGTGTTAGGCTCCAGCCCCTCGAAATATTTTGACTGATGTGCAGAACTAAGTTGACATTTGCCCAAAGGGTAGGCAAGCGCTGTCCTCTGTGGATGCAGGCAGTATGCTCTGAAGCAATATAGGGAATAAGTTAATCCAAATTGCCTTTTTTAAATTTTTTTTTCCCTCTTGGAACAACAACAGCAAAAACAATCAGCTAAAACAATTGCAAAAGTGCTGAGCAGACTCACACTTAGGACTTTGCAGGTTTGGGGTTTTTTTAACTGTTTTCTATTCTGACTTAATTTTGATTAAGCATGTGGGTTGGAAGAGCTGCTCAGGTTGTCTCTTGGATGGGCAAAATGTAGTTGTGGAGCTTGTTGAAATTTTTGCTGGTAGATTATGACAACAGCTGGTAAATTTGGAGGTTTATGAAATCTATTTTTAGGATTTTGCTATAAATTTGAAATGGCAGCCTGGTTACTATGTGGATTAAAGGAAAAAAAGAAAGAAGAAGAAAAAACTTCTAATAATTTGAAGAGGTGAGGACATCCCTGAACTGTTAATGGAGAGTCAGAATTGAGGAGAGGCGTGTGGAGTGGGTGCAGATGAACATCAAATACCATGGCAGGGGCCAGAGGAGGGACTGGGGCAAACCAGTTCTGTGCTGGCTCTGGCCTTTAGAAAGTCTCTCTAAGGATAATTTCAGGGTGTGTTGCAGCCCAATAATGTTTTGTGGGCCTTTTAGACTTTTAAAACAATTTTTAAAAATTATTTCTTAGATCACTTAATATTCAGGGATCATTTCTTCCCCCCAGTTTTCAAGCAGATCTCCTCACTGTGATGTGAGGAGACCCTCACCCTCAGCAAGAATTGTGAAATAAGGGAAAAGCTTGGAGAGAGGAAAGGGGAAGAAAAAATAATCTTGCTTACAATTAAATATGTAAATTTAATTGTGGCAACAGAGTTTCTGCTTCAACCCATTGTATGCTTTTGTCCCAGTTTTTTGGTATAAATTGGTATTTGGAATTGGTATAAATTCCTTTTTGTTCAAAACTAAAAGAAGGGAGTTTGGGGGTTGTTGTTTCAAGTGTTTTTTTTTCCTCATTGTCAATTCTCTGCATCCTTTAAATCCAGCTTAATTTAAAATGTTGGTATTCAAACCTCATTTTGGGGATTATACGATGTAATTGGTTTGTTATATGATGAGTATTTGATGATCTTCACGTTCATCATCTAATCAGGCAAAAAAAGCCATAAAATTATAATCCCAAAAGATGTTTAATAACAATTTAAACTATTGAAGGCTTTATTTAAGCACATTAGGGGATTATAAACTACTCTTTTTTAATGGTGCCAAGAGGTAGATTCAAGGACTTCAAACACCTTTTAAAAAACAAATTGCCATGATTTAAAAAAAAAATGAATGGGCCGAGGATTTCTTTCATGTAAATCCCATAATTTAATCATTATTTTTAACTGCTTTTAAAACAATTTCCTTAAGAGGTTAAATCTTACTGAAATGGGACACTGAGCAGAAAGTAAAAGACGTGGCTGAAAAATGTTGACTTTAAAGTGAAAGGATTTTTTTCTATTATGTAACTGGATTTTTAACCTTTATTGGTTGCTTGATACCATGCTAATAA